CAATCTGTAGAAAATGTATTATAACACCAAAAATGACCTATTGTTCTGTTTTTAAAATAAAGAACAATTATTTATAGAATCATTTTGATTATTACTTTAAGCTGCTTTGTATATGTTACAGTTAAACATGATGTCAAAATTCTAGGATTATTCAGCCATCACTTCACGTCAGTGTCTAAATCTTTATGCTCATATTTTGAGACATTGGGCACATCCTGTGTTCTTTTGGTTCTTGAATGTGTAACAGAGTGAGAAATGGGCAGCAAAGACCCCAATGCTGAGCTGTGAGATGAGACTTTTGAGTGTGATGAGCTAAAAACTGAACTGCCATCTTCTCCTGATAGTGAGCTGAATGAACCGTATGCAGAGCTTCCCACAGACCATGTGTCCGACCGCTCGTCTCCACTCACTGGGGAAAACATAGAAACAATTCACTTTCAAAAATGATGTTAGCCTATTGCATCGAATAAGTACATTGAGTAAATATCAGTACTACAGATCTTGCATTCATTTTCCACTAGATAACACTTTACTAATATCAAGATCAAATTATATTGCAAAAAAACTAATAATAATTTTTAAAAAAGACAATTTGTGTAAAATTGAGGCAATGGAAATAGTTTACCTCCACATGATGTAGAAAGCCACGTCAGACATAAAATGTCTGAATGTCAAATCAATAATTTTTTAATAAGCCAATAATTAATAGTTTGTTTTACAACAAATTCAATATCAGTTCACAGATTATAAATGTATAGGCTTAATTTTCGAGAAGGTCAAAAGGTGATGCCACAGTCAGCATTTAAAGTTTGTCTAAAATATCTAACAGGTCTCACTACAAATAACATGGGATTTATGCCTCTCGTGCTATAATAAAACTGTCAGGGTACACCAGAGTGTACAGTATTGGTGGAAAGTGCCAAATAAAACAAAAGATACTCACTTAGTAGTGGTGTGAATTCCATGCTATGTATTTTTAGGACACTGAGCTCATATCTTCTTGTGTGAGATGAATCTCTAGAATGTGAAGACCTGATGTGTGCTTCTGGACTTCCCAGAGACGATGTGTTCGACTTCTCATCTACATTCACTGCAAAAAGAAAAGGGAATTAAAAAGGGTAATTCTGCATGGAATAAGTACATGAAGCATGAGGACTTTCAAAACATTATCCAAATAATAATCAAGTTGGATTTATAAAAAAGATTTTGTCTATTTGATATGATTTTTAATTATTATTCATTGAATGGCTTGATCATAAATTACATCAATGCAGATTTGAAGGTTTAAAACTTAACCTTCAGAAAACATTTTAAGATAAGTAGGTTTGTCTAAAATATAAATAATATGGAATTTGTGCCTTGTATGTTTTATCAAATGTAATGTGTATATTCTGGGTATAAGTGGAAAGTGTCAAATAAAACAAAAGACACTCACTCAGTGGTGGTGTGAATTCCTTGCTGTTAAATATTTTCAGGACCCCTGACTTGAATCTGCTTATGAGAGATGTATCTTTGGAATGTGAAGACCCAAAAATTGACCTGACGTCTGCTTCAGATGAACCGTAACCAGAACTTGCCAGAGAGCACGAATCACATCCTTCAGCATCACTGACTGCAATAATGCAAGAGAGCAGATCATTAGTAGAACACTGACATTACGTTTATGTATTAGGTAGTAGGCACATTTATAAAAAAAGATACTTGGAATTCAAAAATCTGTTTTATAATTTCATGAGAACAGAAGAGTTTAACATAAATCTGACATTTAGAGAATCAAAGGCTTAAAACAATTGAACACCAGACACAGGTAATGTGCCTTATGATCTGTTCAGATGATAAACCTTTATTTACCACAGCACATTGTGGCTCTTGGTTTCCTATTCAAGTTAAACAGGGTTGTACCTGACAGTTATTTTCAAAACCGCAGCTTTTTCTAAACGGTTTGGCCGTTCGTCCACACGCAAACGTTGCACCAGGTCACTGAAACCGAACATTTTTGAAAACGCCTGCCAGGGTGAAGATTTTCAAAAAACTCCAGTTGCAGTGACAGCGAAAGTTTTTGGCTTGTGACGTTGGAGCATGCACTGCTATCTCCATAAATATGTATATATATATCTGGTTATCACTGCTCCGGGTGTGTGTTCACGGTGTGTGTGTTCACTGCTGTGTGTGTGCACTTTGGATGGGATAAACGCAGAGCACTAATTCCTAGTATGGGTCACCATACTTGCCCACATGTCACTTCACTTCACTACTGGAAACTTTTTCAGGCTTCTGATTGGCCAACATGGCTTTACGGTTGAGATTATATCGCCACCTGTTGGCTTGGCATGCTCTTGACAGTGCCTCATAGCATGCGTTTGAGTTTTCACGTGGACGGAGATTTTTTAAAAACGAAGAAGGAAAAAATTCCCGTGTACATGTGGACATGGCCAAAATCGAAGGTTGTGTTGGAAGATTAATCTTAATACATCAGTATTAGATTAGTATCAGATTAAACTCTATTATGTGAACTATTTAAAGGCAGAATAT